CATGTATATAAAATTCAGCACTATCATTCAGAGTTACACCAAATGATATGTGCATGTATGTAATTATATGTGACATATAGTTATATGTTTATATAAACATTTTAGTACTACTTGGTTTTCTAAACTGTGAGCATGTATTATTTGATTTTTTAGGTTTCTAAAGCTGACAGCAGAACCATTTGGAATATGCCTTTTGGGCTGACCTAGACCAGTGCTGTTTCCAGATCCAATTTGCCAAAAGAAGCAAGTACCCTTCATGGAGTAGCTTGTCGGACATGCATCCTGACAGTAATACTGTCCCCACATTTCAGAACTAACAGTCCTGCTTTCAACACCATAATGTCTATCTGCCTTATTATTGGAGCTTATATTCCAAAATGAGTTTGGGACTTTCCTTTTGAACTCAGTCCAATGGGTTTCCATAGTGCATCCAAATTCTACTCAAAGGCATCAGTAACCCAGAAAGTGTATCTCTAAGAGGAGGGATCTTTTCTCCTGCTCTGAAATAGCAAGATTCATTGATGTAACTACTGGGAAGTGCCTTGTGTAACTGAGACTTCAAACCGACACGACACACTTCATTAGAGGAGTATGTATTGGGGCATAGTAAATGCTGTGGGTAATATTCTATGTATCTGAGAGATTTATTATTTCATCTATAAAGAGAGCACAATTGAGAATCTAAAATCCCAAAGGCATTAAACTGTGTAGAATTAGAGAAGTGGAGAAAAATAAGGCTGTAGGGTAGTTTGTGTTTAACTGGTTCTAGGAACTTGCCAGTCTTCAGTCTCAACTATTCTGGCTATTTAAAAGCACTATCACAAAATACCATTTTTTTTAAGGACCAATCACATGACCAACCAGTATTTCCTTTTTTTTTTTTTTTTTTTTACCTAAATCCTCTGGATTACACCCCTGACCAAGCTGAACTCAGTCTACCAACACCCAGATCAAGAATGCAGATAATCCTGAGGGTCAGCTATAAACCTGGACTTGCCTGCAAGGGGATTCATACCTGAAGTTAAGAGAAAAACAAAAATACCAAAGAACTGGGCATGGGCTTTAGACAATTCTGAAAAACTAGAAAATGTGAATCCCCAGTCCAACTAGTTGGCACCTAGAAGTGTTCATCTGATTTCCTGGTCTGACAGAACACTCCGTTCAGGGGAAAACTAAGTCCCATCATGGCAAAGCTCATGAGAAATAGTGCCTTCTATATCCAGAGAGCAGTGCAATGAAAAGTCAAGAGTATGAGCTCAGAGTTCAAATCCTGCCTCTCCCTCTTACCACCCATGTGACCTTTGCGCATGACTCTGCCATCCTGAACCTCAGTATCTTTGCCTGGAGGATGAGTATAATGAGATAGCACATGCAAAGAACTTAGAAGTGTGCCTGATATGCAGTAATCATTCAATAGTGATTATGGGGAAGAAAACAGTTTACATTTTCTCTGAGAGCGCCTATCAAGCATGCATTCATACATTTTTTTTTCATGATTTAGTGGGAACTCTGTGCCAGGTGCTGAGCTATGCATGAGATTAGCAATTTGGCAAGGGCCTGGTGGATAAATTAGGTGGATAGAGAATGCCACAGGCAGGAGTATAAAGGTATACAGGTGCTAAAGAACGTACAAGCCCAACATGTTCAGGTTACAGAAAGCATGTCTGGTAGCTCAGCCAGTAATTCCAGTCCAAATCATCTGAGGAATTTGTTAACTATTTCTGGGTCTGACTCTCACCTTATAGATGTTGATCCATTAAATCTGCATTGGGATATGGGCACCTGCAAGGTAAATAGTAATGGCAACAGCTAACACTCATTAGTACTAAATTATGCCTGGTATTTAAGTGTTTTGGCTGTAATAAGTTATTTAATCCTCTCCCCTCCCCCAGATCCTCATAAGATGGGCACTCTTATTATCCACATTTTAAAAACGAAAGCTTGAAACAGATAAGTGCATTAACCAGACCATAAAGCCAGCAAGTGGTGGAGGCAGGCCTTGAGCCTATGCAGTCGGGTTCCAGTCCAAGTCTGCAATCACTATGCGGTGCTGCCCCTCCATCCTCCAGGAAAGGTTCAGTTGAGCTGTCAGGACAGGAGCCTCCAGAACAGATGTATAACAGTAAGTGCATCGGGTGAGTGGAGAGAGATGAGCCAGCGGAGGTTGGCAAGCAACACATCAGCATAGTCTTGTTTGCATATGAGGAGTCTGGCACTGAGAACTTTCAACCACAGAATTTAAAGCCACTTATGTCATATTTTTATCAGCCAAGTGCTGGGGCCTAGGTGTCTGATGTAGGCAATGAGATATTTAAGATTAACAACTGATTCTATTTATTTAGTATTATACATTGAACAACTACTCTATATCAGGTGCAGTGAATATAGGAAGTGATTAAAACACAGCCCTTGCCCTAGCTCAGTGGTTCTCAACCTCGGTTGCACATTAGAATCACCTGGGAATCTTTTTAAAATCCTGATTTCTGGGCCTCATCCTCCGGAAATTCTGTTTCTTTGTTACTAATGTTGTGGCCCCACCCCATAACAAAGAAACAGAATTTCCGGAGGATGAGGCCCAGAAATCAGGATTTTAAAAAGATTCCCAGGTGATTCTAATGTGCAGTCAAGGTTGAGAACCACTGCCCTAGCTGGTTTGGCTCAGTGGAGAGAGCGTCAGCCTATGGACTGAAAGGTCCTGGGTTTGATTCCGGTCAAGGGCACATGCTCAGGTTTAGGCTTGATCCCCAGTAGGGGGCATGCAGGAGGCAGCCAATCAATGATTCTCATCATTGATGTTTCTATCTCTCTCTTCCTCACCCTTCCTCTCTGAAATCAATAAAATATATTTTTTAAAAAAAACAGCCCTTGTTTGCAATGGAAAGAGATATTTGAGGATCCAAAGGAAGACATCAGCACTTCGAACTCGAGAGTCCAGAGGTGTCTCACACGCGTGGGCAAGGCAGGTTCCAGAGAGAAAAGGAATGCAGGGTGTGAATCCAGTTGAATGTCAGAACCTGAGGTCTAGACTGCAGTGCGAGAATGAGGGGGTAGGAGGAATCAATGAGAAAGTGAAAAGAGGGTTCTATGGACAAGAGGGTCCCGAAAGAGGAGTCAGAAACACAGGTGAGGTCAGTGAGAAGAGGTCTGAGATGTGAAAGTAAAGCAGAAGCACAAAATGTCAGAGCTGGGAACCACCTTCAATCTCTCAACCTGTACCTGATGCAAAATGCCTTCCGCATGTCCCACCTGCGGGAACCACCTGGCTTGCCTTTCAGCCATCAACTGTAAGGTAATCAGAGTCATATGGGCCCTCTGGTGAAAACAATGAGGGACAGAGACACTCAGAGACATTCTCGGAGCCAAAGACAACACAGGAATGTTCTCTCTTTGCAGGACCACCTTCCTACACCTTCACACAAGCCCTGCTCCTACAAGAATCCCTGCTCCTACAAGAAGGCCTCCTAACCACGCGTGGGTCCCATTTCTTTTCTAACCCCTCAGAACTGAGCCGTGAAATGCATGCCCGCAGGAGCACAGGAATTTGGTTTCTAGCTGCAGCTCGGTCACCGTCTTGCCCAGTGACTTTGGACAAATTATTTCCCTTCCTTGTGCCTGAGGTTTTCTTCTGTAAAAAGATTAAGCTTTGAGTAATATTTTGAAAACTGCTTTAGCAGCAAATCCCTTATTTTAAATGAAAATTCACAAAAAAAGCACTGAGCTGTAATCCATAAACCATATCCAAGCAGCGCGTGCTCTGATGGAAAATTTGGAGCTGACAAACACGCAACAAGTTGCGCACCTTGTACCCCCTGGAAAGCCTTCCTGGCGCTGGGTTCTTGCAGCTCCTGAGACTGGAGGAAAAGAGAAAGGCAGTGAGGGCTGTCACTTCTCTCCTGGGCTGGTGATGGATCCCCTGAACTGAGGGGCAGGCCAGGCCCCCAGGAGTGAGTCATGGGGTTCGCGTGCAGGAGATAACAGGCTAACAGCCACTTCTTGCCAATCTGTGCGCACAGCTGTCAGCTCTAGGAGGCAGGAATCAGCCCCGATTTGCTACTGGCTACGAGGGGCTGGACCGCAGGCGCTGAGGAGCAAACCCAGCATCTTGAAGCACGTACTAGACTAGAAAGACAAACTCACAGGGCTCTTAAGCAGAACTTCCGAGTGGCCAGGTGGCCCAGCCTGGCCGCGATAAGAGGGAGCCGGTCCAGGCTGGCACACACTGACAGCATTCTTCCTAGGCCCCCAAAAATATCCGAAGAGTTTAAAAGAGACAGAAGGAAAGTGAAAGAGAAGATGTGGATCTTGACTCCCGACCTCACTGCATGTCAAAGTTTGCTTTTTTTTTAGTAGTTCGTGACTTCAGGTTCCTAACTCAGAGAAAAGTCAGAACAGTGAACATTTCTCAGGATACTCAAGTAAAAAAAATGTCCATATATAAAAGGTTACCATTCAAAACACTTTTCTATCCTTTAACTTCCCCGAGAATGAATGAGCTTGGCTGTGTGTGCGCTTGGGGAGAGGGTGTGGGCAGGAGGAAATAAGATACTGTAAACAACAGTCACATACTAGAAACCTATAAACCACAGGAAGGATCAGAGACAAAACGCGCGTTTCCCCTCCAGCACCCCAGTTCACTGAAAATTAGTCTTTACAGGTTTCTATTAAACTTCTTAAGTCAACCTAATAGTTTTTTGTATGGTTGGTTGCTTTTTATTTAAAAAAAAAAATGTCCAACCTCCCTGCAGAGGCAAATAATTAAGGACTCAGCACTATCTCGTTATCATCGCTGCCCCGTGCCTGTTCTCAGACACAAGGAGTCCCGTGCACCTCACAGCAACCTCAGCCCCTGTAATTACTCGGAACAAATGCATACTTGTGGTGGCAGCCAGAGCCTGTAGACATACGTAAACATCATTATCTCACTTTAAAAGGAAAGCAAGCTGTATAAAGAAGAAACACTGTTACCAGAGTTAAAAAAAAAAAAATCCCAACAGTCTTACTTGCAGTTAGCGCTTCAGTCAACACATATCACAGCCCTGGAGACAAGACACAGGCACTGCAACACGCTCTCCAGCTAAAACTTTCCTCCCGAGTTATCCTCTGTTTATTTTTGAAGCATTAAAAGGCCGCGCTAGGAGGACCCGCTGTTTTCCTGACCGTCCCAAGCGGCAGCAAAGTCCTGCAGGGAATGCAGAGCGAGTTTGCGGAGACGGCTCCCTCCGTGCGGCTCCGCGGTTGCTCCGAGCTTGTAAATACAAGCTCCGTGGACAAAGTCCCAAATGACATCACTGGCAGCTGCTTATTGTTGAGTCTTTATTAACTGACTGTCAAAAAAAAAAAAAGGAGGGGGTGGGGAAAAAGTATCTTTTCTACGGCGCAAGTCGGCCGGCGTCTTGGCGTGGATTCCAGCGACACATGCGTTAATAATCCCATTGACTCCCATTTTCAAGAGCCTGGCTTCTCACAGGTCAGACCTTTCTCCGAGAAGCGGAGAAGTCCCTGTCATTCACACCGGGTACACGAAGGCTGCAGGGGAGGCCTGAAGCCGGCAGCCCTATCAGGTTGTTCACCCACCTGTTAACAGTCAGCTTCAGAGTTCGGTGATTCGTGAATACACGGATATTAGCTATGTCTTATGTTGCCAAACAACTTTTACTGGGCTGTGTGTACCTGCTAACATTTTTTCTAGATGGATGGTTCTGGGTTGTAGCTCCTTTTAGATGTACTCTAAAGTTTACCTTGGGGTAGAAGGAAGGGCTGCTTGAAGCCACAAAATGTTGTGTATGTGTATATGCAAGCAGGCAGGTCGTTTCCTGGGAAAAGTGCTGGAAGCCTTCTTCAGATTCTCAAAATTTGAATGACCTACCTGTACCAGCCCCATCATGTCCTCCCAAAACCAAAAAAAAAAACACAAAAAAAACCACTTCTGCCAAGTATCTCTAATAACCTCAAGGACTACTGTAAACCCCATACGCTTCCAACCAGCAAATTAAAAGTGGGCACTTTCGCCCTATTTTCCACCCTCGTGGAATCTCTTCCTCTGTCGCTGACTCCTACTTGCATTTCAGAGTTATCTACCGCCCACCGCCGGCCCCACCTGAGGATCCGCAGTCCCGCAGCCTCTGCCTGAAGCTCCAACACTGGACTCCACTGTTTCCCTTCCTTCCTCTGAACTTCCACAATGATGCTGACTATTTATATTTGCTGCTTTTTATATACTGACTTGTATTTTTAGCTTGTTTTTTTAGCCATCTGTGTCTGTCTTCCCAACTCAATGTGAAAGGTCTTTGAGGGCAAACATTGTGCTGTACGCGTAATTTGTTTATACCCGAATCGCCTGCCATCGTGAATCTTAAACAGCAATACGGGGAGGAGGGCGCTGAGGGGAGAGACAGGAACAAGGTTAGTGGGCCCATGGAATGAAGTGTACATTTAGATTAAATACTCTCCCTGCCTTTGGAAACAGTGGAGGCTCATTGCATATCCCAACATTATTTTCTCAAAGAGCAGTGATTGATTATTGATTTGGAAGCGTCCCAAGACCTGCCAATCTGCCACTTCATGGAAGAATCAGTTAAAGACAGTGCATATCTTGCTTCACAAATGGGTTTTAAAAATCAACACGATATTTATGAAAAGCAAATGAGAAGTACCTAAATATTTTATAAGTACAATCCTTAGACCTAGCAGTTCCACTTTTCAGAGTGACCCCACAAATATGCTCACAAAAGAGCCCGAGGATATAAGCTCAAGAATGGTACTTGCAACATTATTTGTAAACCATTAGAATAGAGATAGCTTAAATATTCATCAATATGAGAACAGGTAAATTTTACAAATTGTGGCACATGTATAGTACATGACACTTAGAAGGAGTTGAAAAAGTTGAGGTAACGGCATGTACTGGCACAGGAAGAGCTACATAGTTGCTTGTTGAATGGATAAAACAAATTGCAGTACAGGCTGTAGCATATGCTGGGAGGAGTTACACAAATTATTAACAGTGGTTATCCTTGGAGAGGGAGACAGGGGAACCTTCAGTTCTGTATAGTTTGACTTTTTTTTTTTCAATGAGCATGTGCCACTTTTGTTATTAAAAATAACAATAAAGGGGGCTGGGTGAAGAGGGAAATGGGTGGGGGAAATAGGAGACATCTGTCATACTGTCAACAATAAAAAAATAAACTTAAAACATGATAATAATAAAAGTAAATGATCATACAATTTTCATAATAACCCACAAGGAGAATCTTAGCTATTCCTTCAACAAATGTCTGGCACAAGGTATAGGTGCTCAATAAAGATCTATTGATTGGATGAATATTTGTGGAGTTTCTACTGAGATGGCACTACACTGGAATGGAATACAATAAAGAAGAGGGAGAACCAGGCACTTGGTTTTCATTTCTGATTGAATGACCAACCAAACCCTTTCCCATACATTTGAGGACTAATTTGAAAACCTCTTAGACTCTGTCCGCCTTAAGAAATTATTAACGTTAAGTGCTTAGAACATCAAGTGCTGACCTTTCCCTTGGCGACTGCTGTTTGACAAGTGGAGCTGTAAGGTAAGACGAGTATGAACCACTTTGGTTCAGTTCTCTGGCTGCTAACAAGCATTGGGCGAGAAGGCAGAAGGCTTGTAAGGGCTCAGGGTTGCCCAGTTCCTGTCATGGCCGGTCTAACATGAAGGAACTCAGCAGGGGCAGGTTAGGGAACTCTCACCCATAAAGAGTCTTCAGAGCTTCATTAAGGAGGGACAGAGGCTTTGCAGGTCAGTGGCCTGGAATGCGGGCACAGAATGGCCAGTCTCCCCTACATGCAACCTACAGGTGGAAACTCGCAGGCATAAGCCATGCTTACTGGTAAGATACTACATTTTTCTTTAGGGGGGAATAAAGTCCAAGAAAGAGAATGAAAATTTCCACCAAGGAAAAGGGGGTTTTTCAAAGTAGTACTATTTTTAGTCCTCTAGAGCAAATATACCGAAGTCTGGCCTTACTTCCTAGTGAGAAGATATCTTATGTCTATAATAATTTCAAGACAAAAAAAGCACAGCCCATAATTCCTGCATGGTTTTATATTGCTCTGAGCCACATATTATAGGAACCTGAGGCCAGATCCTGTTTAAAAATGCACACGTGAAGCCCCTCGGGTGTCATAAAGTCACACTTTCCCAAGTGAGAGTTAAATATACATATTTAACTTGACTTTCAACTTCGTATAAAAACAAATAAGGGAAAGGTGAGGTGGGGTTGGGGGCAGTGTTGTCCCCACCTCTACCAGGTGATCATTAATGCTGCAGCCACAATTGCCTCCCCCTGCCGAGGCGCGTGGCCCACCTCCTTCAGTGCCTTCTACTGCTTCTTCAGGCAATGTCCTCTCTCTCCGTGCAGCCTGCCCTCACCAATGGAGGATTGCCAGGCAACGTTATAAAATGCATATATATGGCTATTTGCCTGTTCATTTTTTAAATGATTTATGCTGTATTCTTCATCTTAAAGTGTTTCTGTTTTAAATGGGAAAATCCCTCAGTCAAAGACCAGCTCTTCAAGGACTGAAACAGGGAAAAGGCCCCTTACCTTGCAGGTGCTTGCTGGATGATTGATCTAACTAGGGATCTATCAAGACTATTATCACAGGAACAGTTCCTACCTCCAGTGTCTGATTTCCTCTCTACCTCCCCCTCTTATCCTGATAAACACAGGAAACTACTGCCATTTATTAAGCACTTATATGTGTCATTTGTTTTAAATGTGTTATCTCATTTGCCTTTAAAATGATGCAGTGAGTTAGATACTATTATTGTTAGCATAGGAAGCTGGATATTAATAAAGGAAGGAAGCAAAGGGAATCAGACATTATTACATACTAGAGGCCTGGTGCACAAAATTCGTGCACGGTGGGGGGTGGGCGGGGAGGGTATGTCCCTCAGCCCAGCCTGCACCCTCTCCAATCTGGGACCCCTCAAGGGGTATCTGATTGCTTGTTCAGGGATTGGGCCTAAATGGGCAGTCAGACATCCCTCTCACAATTCAGGACTGCTGGCTCCCAACTGCTCGCCTGCCTGACTGCCTGATTGCCCCTAACCACTCCCCTGCCAGCCTGATCGACACCTAACTGCTCCACTGCCAGCCCGATTGCCCCCAACTGCCCTCCTCTGCTGGCCTGGGTCCCCCCAACTGCCCTCCCCCTGCTGGCCTGGTCCTCCCAACTGCCCTCCCCCTGCAGGCCTTGTCCCCCCAACTGCCCTCCCCTGCTGGTCATCTTGTGTCCACATGGGGGCGGCCATCTTGTGTGTTGGAGTGATAGTCAATTTGCATATCACTCTTTTATTAGATAGGATAATGAATGGGGATCATGAGCCTGTTGGCTTCTCCAGGAAGATCCAGGGGATCACAGTATTGCCCCACCAAGAATTAATACCCCTCCCTTCCCACTCTGGTACCAATGGAGGCGGGGGCAGGGGAAGGTAAGCGCATGTGCAATAGAAGTCAAAATGGCACAGGGGGAGGTGCTGGACTACAGAGGCCTATCAGTCTAGCCCAGGGAAATAATGGATTAGTCAGGAGGCAGGCCCAGCTCAAGCCCACAAAAGCTTGGGAAGTTGACTGGTTATTTTGAAAAAACTCCTGGTCCATCATGAGCCAGAAATAATATAATCCCCAAGGAACACAGAAGAGCCCTCTCTCTCGGCCAGGAACACATGTAACCATGCAGGTCTAGCAGCCCTGTGGGCCGGGGGCAGGCAGTATGGGCTCCAGGGACTGAGTTTTCATCTGAAACAGAAACGCTGGATTCTGGCCTTTGTTTGGGTCTTGATGAAAACAAGATTGGACTTTTTCCATGGCAGGACAGACAGATAGGAACCCATGAGGGGCAACCTTGTCTTTTCACCCAAATAAATCTTGCCACACCACAGTCTCCCATGCATGGGTCTGTGAAATATTTTTCTCAGAATCCTGTGGGAGAACACAAGTTCCACCAGCAACATTATCACTCCCTTCTTAATGCTGAGGAAACTGAGGCCCAGAGAGCTATGCTCCTCAAGTGACTTGACTATGACCATACAAATAATGGTCAGAGGTAGATCTACCATTTCAATGCTGCCTGACCTTCCCGTGTCTCAGGGAGACTTAGAGACCCCTACAGATTATAAATATGAAGAATGGCAAGTTGGAATTAGAAACATGTCTCCATCATTAAAGTACTCAGTTCTGATCCATATATGGCAGGGAACATTCAACAGACCTCGGACCTTGATCTCA